CGATTATGGTGATGTTGCTGACGCTGATGCTGATGATGATGATAATGATTATGATGCTGATTCTGATGATGTTGATGATAATGAGGATGGTGGTAATGATACCAGTGATGATGATGATGATGATGATGCTGATGATGATGATGATGATGATATTGATGCTGAGTATGATGTAGTTGCTGCTGATTGTGGTGCTTGTGGTGATGCAGTCGGTGATTATGATGACGGTGGCGATGATATTGTTGATGTTGATGTTGATGGGGATCGTGGTGTGGTGATGATGATTAGGTTGTTGATGTTGATGATGAATGTGAAGGCGGCGATGATGAGGACGACGACGACAACGACGACGGTGATGATGACGACGACGCCGCCCACGACGACGATGACGATGATGATGATGCTGATGACGCTGATTATGATGATGCTGATGCAGATGCTGATGCTGATGCTGATGCTGATGCTGATGATGATGATGATGATGATGATGATGATGACGATGCTGTTGCTGTTGTTGATGCTGATGCTGATGCTGATGCTGATGCTGACGCCGCCAGCGTCCGCCAGGAGCGCCCCTCTCTGCTGGCCGGCTTCCTGTGGCTCACCGCCTGGCCCGCGCTCGTGACGTGTTTCTTCTGGAGGCGCCCCCCCTGGGGCGCGCGTGCTCCACGGGTGAGCCAGAGGGATGATGATGAGGAGGAGGAGGAGGAGGAGGAGGAGGAGGAGGAGCAGGAGGAGGAGGAGAAGGATGAGGAGGAGAAGGAGGAGCAGGAGGAGGAGGAGAAGGATGAGGAGGAGAATGAGGAGCAGGAGGAGGAGGAGGAGGAGCAGCAGGAGGAGGAGGAGGAGGGACAAGCTAGGTGCTCTTGCGTCACATCTGACTTCCTATCCCTCCCTCCCATCCCGTGCCATGGCGTCGATATCCTATCTATTCACACAGTCGGATGTCGTGCAGGGCAATGGTCCCAAGAGGGTACGCGATGGATGGAAAAGCATGGCGACGGGATAACATGTCATAACATGGTGTGGCATTGTGTAGTGAAGCATTGCATCACAAAGCATAGCAACGCAAAACATGGCATCGTACAGCGGTGCACAACACACCATTGCATGTCATGTCGTGGCTTGGCATCGGATGACTTGGAGGGTAAGTGGCCCGTCTGCGAGAGGGCAGGGCCTGTCCAGAATGCCGGCTCCATGTCCTCCGCAGCCGTGCCTGCCCGATGTGGGCGCTTTCGAGTGCCAGGTGCCGTCCCGAGGCGCGAAAGCGAGGCCAGCGCTGCAGCGGGAGCACGATTCTGAATGACCGAAGCGCTGACATGAGGAATCGAGCTCTGGGGAGTTTGCTTCCTCCGCGTCTTGGCCGTCCTCCTCTTGGCATTCCTCCTCGTCCTCGTCGTTATCCTCGCCTTCCTCGTCCTCCTCCCCCTCCTCCCCCTCGTCCTCCTCCTCCAACTCCTCCTCTTCCTCCTCGTCCTCCTCCTTCTTCCTCCTTCCCCAGACGCCGCCTCCGAACCTCCGTCGGGTGGGGGGGGCGGCTCACCGCCCCCCCGCAGATTGGCGCCCAGACGCCCAACATCTCGAGAGAGTCGCCCGCGATGTGTGGCATGCGGGTGCCGCTTTCGGATCGGGCTCTGGGGGCGTCAACAAAACAATTTTTCTGTCAGCGGCGAGGCGGCGAACTCTGCTCCAGCGAGAAGTTAGAAAGGGGCACTATCTAATGAATTGGCCGGCGGGCAAAGAGAAGGGGGGCCGTCAACAAAAACAAGCCGCGGTGAAAGAGCTCCTTGCGATCGTTGTCTTATCCTCGAAGAAGAGAAAACGCCATAATCACAAGCTTTTAGCGCTCCGCGCGGATTTCTTGGATCCGCGCTGGCCCCCCCCCAGCAGCGTCTCCGGCGACGCCCCTGGCCCTCTTTGCGCGCCAGGGAGGGGTAGGTGCCCAGCGCAGATCCAAGGAATCCGTGCGGAGCGCCAAAAGTTGATGTTATGTAGTTTCCTTGTTCCGGGGTTCATTGTTTTTCCGATCGGCGCGGGCCCTCGCACCCCCCGTTCCCCACCCCTCTTGGCCGGTTCTCGCGCCTGTCTGAAGCAGGTGGGGCCTCCCCCACAGGACGCACTGCTGCAAACAGGGGCATCGAGCAGAGGTCCGGCAACAGACCCTCCCGCCCCCCTTCCGCCCAGTGTCGAAGCGCTGAATAAGATCGCCGAGCGCGTTCCACTACTCGCAGCAAAGTGCCGACTCGCAACCGTCCGAAAACACGTGTCTGTTTTGATGTGATGTATCGCGGGTCTTCTGCGGGGGATCCAGGCCATTTGCGAGTGGTGACTCTTGGCGAGTCGCGGAACGCGCTCGTCCATAACGAGACGATGTTTGCCTTGGGCTCCCGCGGTGGGGCCGTCGAGGGGGGCGGGCGTCCGAGGGCCACTTATTAGGGGAACGAAAAGTGACATAAACATAAAAACTCGGAGGTCCGCGCGGACCTCCGAGTTTTTATGTTTATGCTACTGTTTTGTTCCCCTACTTGTGGGCGTCCGCCGCTGCCGCGGTGGCGGCCCAGCGGGGCAGCTGGGCGGCCGGCAGGCACCCCCCCGGCAGGCAGTGCAGGCAAGGCCGGCCAGGCAGGGAGGGCCGCTCTGCCGCAGTCTGCGGGGGCGGCGGTTCCCGGGGCGCAGCGGGCGAATGAGCCGTGCCGCAGTTCGAGCAGTGGCGAAGCGTCCTGGTCTTGGCGAAGGATGAGGAGGAGAAGGAGGAGCAGGAGCAGGAGGAGGAGGAGGAGGAGGAGAAGGAGGAGGAGGAGCAGGAGGAGGAGGAGGAGGAGGATGGGGACGATCAAGCGGTGGCGAGGCGTCCTGGCGTGCCCATGGTCCTACCAAGCGATGTTATACTGTCCTTTGTTGTGGGTTCCACGAAATGTTATCTGAACCTTTCTGGCTGGGGCTGTCTTGTTTTATATGTCGGGCTAATGTTTTAAAAGCCTTGTCTGTGTTTTTCGAACATTCGTGGGTTCTAAGAACACCTCGTGGTAGGACTACAGGAATGCCGGGACGGTCGGTCCCTGCTCAAGTAATGGCACATCGGTTGCAACGCACACAGCCCATTCGATCACCAGAAGTGTGGACGACGAGCAGTGGAGAGGAAGCATGTTGCCAAATAAGTTCTAGATGTCTACACTATTGGTTTAAGCATGTTCTAGACATGAGGCAAGCATGTTTGAAACACGTTTGGGACATAGTTCGAACAGTGTAGGCAAATTTGTGATTGAAGGATTAGATTTTGAGGATGTCCATTGTCATAGCATCCACAACACTTGAATGAGGAATAGCGTGGTTTCGGATAAGGGGCTCGATGCTCCTTAGGTCCCTCCATGGCTGTTCCTCTAGCGCTCCTCGTCCACGCAGGCGCTTTGGGGGCCAGAAAGGGGCTTTGTTCCTTATCTAGTGGTCCTAAGAGCAGGAGCCCAACTGTATGTATTGTATGAGGAAGACTGCGTCAGCGGCGCATATTGCCACGGTGCCCGTGTCGGGGGCGTCTCTTGGGCACCTCTCCGATACCTCTTCTGGGGACATTTTAAGATCGTCTCGTTCGCGGCACGTCGGTTTGTTCGCTATGTTGGAAGCGGGCCCCGAGGAAGACGGGTATGGCGTTCCCCAAGTCGGGTCTTCATCCCGAGTAGCCTTGTCCAATGGCCCGTGGAGCGCCCCAGGAATCCGGAAACCACGGAGAACGTTCAGGACCCTGTTTCCTCCAGTACATCTTGCTTCCCGCATGACTTGAGACGGGGGGGGGAACACGAGGACGATGAGGAGAATGAGAAGGGACGGGAGAGAGTGAGGGATGAGGAGGGGGAGGAGGAGGTGGGGGAGGAAGACACGAGTACGGAGGAGCTTGAGGAGGAGCAGGAAGGGAGGAGGAGGAGGAAGAGGCGAGGATACCCTGAAGGGGGAGGAGGAGGAGGAGGAGGAGGAAGGTGGGAAGGAAGAGAAGGAGCAAGGGGGGGAGGAGGGGGAGGAGGAGTGGGAGGAGGAGGAGGAGTGGGAGGAGGAGTGGGAGGAGGAGGAGGAGGGTGAGGAGGATGAGGAGGAGGAGCAGCAGCAGCAGCTGCACCAGCAGAGGCAGTGCGAGGGGTGGCCGGGGGGAGACCGGACGGCGCCCCCGCGCGGCGTGCAGAGGCTGCAGCTCTTCGGCCTCCGCCTCGAGTGCGGCGCCGCGCTCCTCGCGCTGGCGCCCCGCCGCTCCGCCGCGGCCGGACCTCAAGCGCATTGGGAAACAGCAAGACGCATTCATTGAATTGAACGCCTCCTTCTCCTCCTCCTCCTCCCTCTCCTCCTCCTCCTCCTCCTCCTCCTCCCCTCCTCCTCCCTCCTCCCTCCCCCTCCCCCCTCCTCCTCCTCCTCCTCCTCCTCCTCCTCCTCCTCCTCCTCCTCCTCCTCCTCCTCCTCCTCCGCCGCCCCTCTTTTTTGAACGCGAGGTCAGAGGGGACGAGGGGCGTGCTAAAAAGCGGAGGGCGCTGCAACGGTTCCGTATGGCATAAAAGGGGTCCCAACGAGTAGCCAGAAATTGCCCCAGGACGCCCCGCGAGACTCGCAGGCAGCGGCACAGGCGGGAAGCGTGTTGCGCAGGCTTTGGGAGGAAGTGTTGAGGGGGAGCGCGTACGTATTCAATCGATTCGCTCACTCCGCCTGCACATCTTGCATGTGGCGTTTTACAAGAGGCCTTGTTGGGTTGGGAGGCCTTGAGGGGGGGGCTTCGGTGAGGCATGTGGGGTATGATGTTCCAACCTACTCTAGCCTTGGCCACCAGGAGGAATTTCGAGCACCAGGAGAGTACCGAAACTGGAGGGTTTTCACGCGTCGGGCCCTGGGAGGCGATACTCGTTCGACACAGTTTCGATTTTGTTTTCTGGGTGCTCGAATTTTTTTCTGGGATGTGGTCCGTAAGTTCGATGGGAAGAACAAAATCGGGCTGGACGAAAGGGGGGGATTGGGAAAGGGGGGGGTACGAAATCTGCTGCATGCAGCTGGTTTCGGCCCCCCCGAGGGGCCCATTCCTCGATGCAGGGCCGCCTCCGGCGCAGGGAGGCGCCGGGAAAATCGGCTACGTGAGCTGATTCTCAACCCCTTCCTTTGCTATCCCTCGCCTGTCGCCTGGCCCGACAGAACATTTCGGGGGCATCCTGGGGGGCTTCTCTGGGGGCTCTCGGTGGTGCCTCGGGGGCTTCTGGCGGCCGCCCGCGGGGGAGGGCTCCACAATGATAGTTCGGAGTTGCCTCGAGGAATGCTCTTGGGGGGGAAGCCTCAGTGCTGGCCATCTCAGGGGGAAGCATCCACGCTCAATTCTATAACCTCCAAGTGGGCTCCGATGCTACGGCCGAGCATCTAATTAAGAAACCTCCTCCCGAAAACTTGGGCCAGCGTCTCTTGACCAACTTATCGGAAAGCTGGCCCAGTTTCTTCAGCACGTTCGCCCCTCCAGCATCAACAGCAGAAATTGGGCCAGGCTTGTTTCTAGAAGCTTCTGGGAAGTTGGCCCAGATTTCTAGACTGATGGTTTTCTTGGTCATCTTTTCGGCTGTAGTTTTCTTCGGGGGGCTAGCGTCAAGACGTACCTGTGTTTGCCGTGGCCTTATCTGCCCAACCGTCAGATCTTGCCGCGTGGCTTCCAGCCTCTGCGTGCATGTGTGGTGCCACACGGCGCCACGCAGAATGCGGCGGTTACGCATGGGTATGTCAAGCAGTGGCGAAGCGTCCTGGCTCGCCGATGGGCCTACCACAGAATGTGATAAGACCCGTTTGAGGCTTGTACGATATGTTCGTAGAACATTCCTGACTGGGACTGTCTTGTTTTAACACATCAGGCTTATATCATAAGAACATTGTTTTTGTTATTAGTACAGTTTTGGGTTCGAACATGTCGTGGTAGGCCTACAGGAATGCCAGGACGATCGGTCCCTGCTTAAGCATGGGGTATGGAGGCAGATGCGAGTTGATGGGGAATGGCGCATGTACGGGAAGCAGGGCCAGGCGGTGGTGCCCCGCCGCTAGATAAGAAGTCCCGGAAGCTTCCGCTCGTCTTGGAATGGATGTGTAGGCGCAACGCGCCCTCGACAGCGCCCTCAACAGCGGCCAGTGGCGCTCAAATAATGCCGAAGAAGCGCCCAGCAGCGCCATGTGGGGGATACGCGATATTTCCGCTCTGCGCGCGATTGGGCGCGCTGTTGGACGCGATGGGGACGACCAACATCTTCCGTGCGTTGCCTTCCACTCGCTGCCCCGCCGCGCCCCGACCTCGAACGCAATGCATTGTCCCGCTCCGAGCGATCCTCACCCGAGATTGCGAGGCGTGCTTGCCAGAAGCTCGAGGGGAATCCAGCCGCGACGACGCGAAGCTGCCCGGAGGCCGTGAGAGGAGCACGAGAGCTCTCGGACACGCTGGCGCTGGCTCCAGGGTGCGCCACCGAGCCGCGGCGGCCAGAAGCCTCCCAGGAGCCCCGCGTGGACCCCAAAGGGAGTACGTACTTGGCATCGCTCGGACGTGTGCATTATTCCTCCAGCGAGGACCATCGAGGAGCATCCTTGATCATGTGGCGACACAACCACGCACGAAACCAAAACAAAAAACACAGGGAATGGGCGTCCGAGCGATGGCCAGAGGACCCACTCTGCCTCGCGCGATCCCCACTCGAGGCCGCGAGGCGGCATCACCAAGAAGTTCGGTAGCGAATCGTGGGAACCTGGTATACCCTCTGTAGTTCCGCCTTTGGCATCGATTAGCGTTTGGGAGTCGATGAGATAGCGCCAATTCAGTGTCGGCTAGTGCCGATTAGCGTCTATCGGCGATCTATCGCCGATTCCAGGTCGACGCATCCCCCGCAATGCAGGCCCCCCCTGTCGTTGCCCCTCAACGCAGGGTGTGCGAGGTGGGTCGGGATTCCTCCTCTTGAAATCCGTGGAGGAAAGTGTACCCATACCGCTACCCCTCCCCCGTTTTCGCCTTTCTTGGGCCTCCTGCAGGGCCCTCGTCGCCACCGCTGGATTTGCCTCGAAATCCTGGTCAGAGTGCGCCCAGGGAGAGGTCCCGGGAGTAGGAGTATCGGTACTCTTTGGTGTCCTGATGACATGTGCAGCCCCAACCTGATTCCGTGGGGCCACACAGGACGGAGGTTTTTGTGTAATGTCAGCTTTGCGGGGCCCTCGCGGGGCTCTGGGGCCGCAGAACAATCGTGGTTTGGGAGCAGCGCTGGTACTGGGGAAAGTCAAGGGAGGAAAAACACCCAGACCCGACAATTGACGTTTACTAAACGGCCCTGGGCGTTTATAAACTGCAGAGCTCTGCCCTGTTCGATTCCTTCCTTGGGTGCTTTTGCTAAACGGCTCGCTTGTGGGGGTGGTTATCATGGGGGTGGATTTTTGCACTCTGGACTTCTTGGAAACCCCGTCTGGACATGATTTCACCGGGCACATCGGGTGCTCCATTGCCGCTCCGATCCAGGCCTCCGAGATGGTCGGCTGGCGTCGGCATCGATGCCGTGGCCAGTCCTGGTGCCAAGGTCGGCGTACCGTTAAGTCGGGCATGTCCCTCTACAGAAGGGATATTCACGAGTAGTCGGAAAATAGTATGGGGACGATTCTCTAGTATGTTTGACTATTTTGGAGTACTTTGTGAATAGTATGTTTGTTCGTCCAAGATCCGCCTATCGGGGGACATGCCCGACCTAAGCGTACCGGCCTTCCTGGACAAGTCGGAAGGGCACATGCAACATTTGTACCCCGGGGTCGGCCCCGAGCAAATGTCGGTACACGTGGGTCGTTGAAAGTAGGTATTCTTGGACACCCAGATCCCAATCTATGTTAGGCGCCTTCCTACTTCAAGGATCGAACGGTTTTTCCTCTCTCCTTCTCTTCAGGCGGCGGGCGGAGTCCCAATCTACGTCCAACGCCTTCCTACTTCATGTTTCTACCTACTTCGTCCGATCGACGGGTACGTCGAAATGGGTGCGAAAAGCGTGGGGGCGCAGACTTGCAGTTATTCTTGCCGTTCTGAGCATGGCTCCTGTCGGCCTCGCCGAGGATTGCGTCCGGTTGAGGGAAGAGGGTACCCGCCCGACAGCGGCCCCTGCCGATTCTGGAGACGAATTGTTGCTGGGCATCGTGCCAATTGTTCTCCGTAATTACCCATTTGAGCGTGTCAATTGTGGGGTCAGGGGATCGCGCCGAATCGCCGGATGTATCGCTGGTGCGGCTCGATGTGGAGCCCGATGTTTTCCACGCCGACGTCGCCGATGCATCGGCGATTTCGCGCGGTCCTCTGACGCCATCTACTCGGACCCTATGTGTGAGGCCATAACCGAATGCCCAGGTTTTCGTGGGAGGTTTTCAGCCTGCTTCGAAGGTTTTCGAACCCTTTCGAAGCCTCGTTCGGCACAGGCCATCGGATGATTTTCGAGCCACCAGAGGCCCTGTGGGCTTGCGGAGGCTTCCGAGACCTCCAGGGACCTCCGGACCCTAGACGTCGTCGGTCGTCGACGTCGGTCGGTCTTCCTCGGTCGTCGTCGTCGGTCGTAGTCGTCGTCGTCGTCGTCGTCGTCGTCGTCGTCGTCGTCGTCGTCGTCGTCGTCGACCTCGTAGTCAGTTGGTCAGTTGGTGCTTCTGTTTGGTGCGTCTCTGGGAACTCTCGTGGCCACTGCCACGTTCATCTCGAATGGCTGCAGGAGGGCCCTGAGGAGGGGTCAGGGGATCGAGTCGATTTTGGTCCGACCTCGTCGCTCTCGTCCTCGTCGTATCCAGCGCTGGATATCTTCTGCTGATCCAGCGTTGGGTAGTTATCCTCCAGCGTTGGGATCAAGTCTCTTTTGGTCCGACTTCGTCGCTCTCGTCCTCGTCGTATCTTGCGCTGATCCAGCGCTGAACATCCTCTGCTGATCCAGCGTTGGGTAGTTATCCTCTGCTGCTGCCGCCGCTGCACCTCCTCGCTCCCTCCCCCGGGGGTCCGCCCGGCATCCCTGTTTGACGTTGGTCAGACACGGGGAACGGTGCTTGTCTCATGTTGTTCCCATCGTACTTAAGGACCATATCCCAGACATAATTTGGAGCATCTAGAAAGCTATCGAAACAGTGTCGAACGGATATCGCCTCCCAGGGTCCTACACGCGAAAACACTCCAGTTTCGGCACTTTCCCGATGCTCGAAATTATTTGTGGTGATCAAGGCTGAAGTAGGTTGGAACATCATAATGCTTGTCGCGTCTGTGTGGCGCGAGCAAAAATTTGAAACGTAGCCGAAGAAGAACAGCGCCATAAACAGAAACTGCTTGGCGCTCCGCGCGGATTTCCTGGATCCACACTGGGCCCCCCCTCGGCGGCGCCTCCAGCGCCACCCTGGGCGCGCTCCGCGCGCCAGCGAGGGGTGTCCAGCGCGGATCCAAAACAAATCCGCGCGGACCAGCGTAAGGTTCTGTGTATGCTGTTTGTCGCTACTCCAGATAGAATCACGAACGAATTGCAAGCGAACCTTGGCCTGCACTCTATTCCTCAATCTCAGATAGCCGACTTAGGCCTGCAAGCGAACAAATTGCGTGTGGCGGGCGCAGTTGAGAGCGGGTGGGCGCAATAGGTAAAGAAAAGGCCCGCCCTTCCTCCTCGTCGTCCTCCTCCTCTTCTACATCGTTTTTCTCCTTCTCCGTCCTCTTCTTCCTGTCCCTCCCTCTCTTGCTCCTCGCCCGCCCCCTCCACTGAGTCCTTCTGCTCCTCCAGCTGTTCATCCTCCGTCCCATCCGCCGGCCCTGCTCCGCATTCTCGCTCCTCAAGTCGTAGCCTTCGTGCTCTAATGCGGCACCTGCGACACGAAGGTCCGGCAGCCGAACACGACTGAGGCTCAGCAGCAGTTACAGGCAGCAGGCAGAGAAGGAGGGAAAAAGGGGAAAAGAGTCGAAGGGGACGGGAAAGAGAACTCCTCGGTATCAAACACGGCGGCTCAGACCGATCGACTATCAGGTCGGGACAAGAGGGAGAAGACGGGCCCATCCGTTCACTGCACTTCGCAACCGCCACGGAGGCAGCACGCCGCCTTCACAAAGCATTGACGCTCCCTCCCAAACTCATCCCTGCTTGCCTCATCCCCCTCCTCCTCCTTCCCCTCCCTCATCCTTCTCTCCCTCTTCCTCCTCCTCCCCCTCCTCCTGCTCCTCCTCATCCTGCTCCTCCTCCCTTTCAGTCCTCCCTTCTAAATCATTGTCCGACCACCTCCCCTCCCCCCACCCCAACATCCCCATGTCTGGGCAGACCAGCGCCAGCGACGAGTAGGCTGGAGATGGGGCACGAGGGGCTTGAAAGGAGGGAGGAGGAAAGAAGGAGGATGTGCACGTGCTGCAGAAGGGCTGCACTGCTGAGAGGGGATAGGGTTCTCCAACTCCTTTTCCATGAAAGCACGCAACATGTCCCCACACAAACACACACACATCAATTATGAAGGCCTCACGACTGGTGCCGCCGACCCTGAATGTAGGACCTCCCCCGGAACCCCCTCTGGCGACGCCAACCCCGGGTCCCGCCGGAATCCCCGGGCGGGCGGCACGGCATTCTGACCCCCACACTTTTATCACCCCAGTGACCCCCGCTGTCGACCCACCCGTTGTGGGTGGTCCTCTTGTCCCCCTGTTTCTCGAACGTGCAGCTCCTCCTGCTCCTGGGGGCATGGAGCATGCTGAAAGCCTAGAAGCTCTACCAGAGCAAAAGCGGCGCAATCTTGCGCAGCGTTGGCTGTCAGGGTTGCCAAAGCCGAACTCCTCCGCTTCATGTATTTTGCTGTCTCTGTCTGTGTCTTTCGCTTTATCTCTTTCTCCCTGCCTTCCCCCAGCCCGACAACGCTAGAAGCGTCGAGTGGCCAAGGGCACCGCAGTGGCGTGGCAGGGCGGCCACGGTGGAAAGCACTGATGATTGACGCGCCCGTTGCCCGCTCGACTTGTGGGACGTCCCTGATGTATCTCGGGCAAGGCGAATCTGACATGTGCTGCGTCGGTTGCTGGCACAGCTAGACGCAACAAGTCACAAGCAACGGCAATGCTGCTCGGTGGCTCCTCTCCTCTATCCAGGATCGCCATGTGGCGCACGATGGGCGAACGCCAGAGGGAGTAGCAGACGGGGGGAGAAGGGAAGCTGGTAGGAAGGGAGGGGGGGGGGATGGAAGATTTGGAGCGCTCCTGCTCTCTGGGCACAGCTAGATGCAGCGTGCCCCGTTCCAGCAGCATCTAGGTGGAACTGGTGCTTCAAGAGCAGGCGCTGGGGCCACGAGCGGATGCGTCCTCCTTCCGGCTCCTCCTCCACATACTCCCCATGGTGTTCCCTCCTCTTTCCCCCCTCCTTGTTTCCGTGGAGCAATTGTCGATAGTAGCATCCAGAGGCATTAGAGGAGGGTGAGGAGGAGAGCCCCTCGATCCTCTTGCTAGTTCGCCCCCCATGTCATCTTCCTTCTTCTCCCTTTTTCCTTCTCTCCCTTCTCTCCGTTCCTCTCCTTTGCCTCCCCCTTTCACCGCTTGACGGTGAGCCACGCAAACACGAGGGTGGAGCAATAGCGGATGTCGAACAGACCCCCCGATTGAGCAAGCCCCGAGGGAGGAGAAGCCGCGAGGGTGAATATACAGAAGGCGCCGCCCTTCCGGTGTCCAGAGTACTTCGATCTTCTCAATCATTACTGGGTTACCGGAAGGCCCGACCCTGTTCCCAGTGCGGTTTGTTGAGCCCGAGTGGTTCTTGGATTGTCCTGGAGCCGAGCGAGGGCCCCGAAAACGCCCCCAAACCTCCCCGTGATTATTTTCTGGTTCCTGACGCGAGCAAAGCACACAAATGTTCAGCTCGCGAGCATGTCTTCGTCTGCGTTGTCGCTCGAGACTGTGCCTGTGCACCGCGTGCCGCCCCAGGTGCTCACTGGGCTGGAGACGGTGGGCGGCATCGCCGCGGCCCTGTCGTGCTGCGACCGGGTCTCGGACCTGGTGCACGTGGTCGCAGCCCCCGGCCGCGGTCGGGCGGTCCGAGTCTGCGAGCCGGTTGGGGGGGAGGGTCAAGTTCGGGCGGAACGAAAGGGGGGGATTGGGAAAGGGGGGGTTACGAAATCTGCTGCATGCAGCTGGTTTCGGCCTCACCGAGGGGCCCATTCCTCGATACATGGCCGCCTCCCGGCGCCGGGAGGCGCCGGGAAAATCAGCTACGTGAGCTGATTCTCAAACCCCCCCTTTGCTATCCCCCCCTTTCGCCCGACCCGAGAGTCTGCGAGCCGGTTGGGGGGGAGGGTCAAGTCCGGCCACGCGGCCGCTCGAGAACTACATCCAGGTCTCGGGAGCCATTCGTCCGCGGAGCGGGTCCACAGGCGAAACAGATCCGGTAAGGAGGCCTTGGGGCTCCATGGAGCCCCCCGGAAGCGCAAGCGTTGCTCAACGATGCAGAACACGTCGGCGAAGCTAACGAAAACAGCCCTCCAGACCTAATATAGACTTGTCATAACTGCTTGAAACCTGGACTAGAATTGGAATTCAACGGGCCTGGCAGGGTCCACTTCGATGCGATCGATCCGACTCGAGATTGATTCATATCGGCTCGATCCAACTCGGTTCCGATATTTCGCCGAACCGTCCGACCCCGAGAGGTCTGGACCTCTTCCCCAGGACGGTTTTTTTCATCCTGAGTTGTTTTTGGACGGTCCCGAGGCCCAGTAAGGGCCCCAGGAACCCCAAAACAGCAAAAAACCTCCGTGCATATGCGAGCCCGATTCCGTGCACGCTCCAAGGCGGTCGATCTCCCGGTGCGGCGCCGACGAGTCCTGGCCTGTGCTGTTCGGGTAGCCGTCCTGCCGGGTCGGGTCGCAGGCGGCGGCGCGCCCCCAATCCTAGGAGCGCTTGCAGAATTGGTGTGTCCTAGAACCAATTCAGTAGTCGACCCCTACTACAATCGGGTCGGGCGAAAGGGGGGGTTTGGGAAAGGGGGGGTTACGAAATTTGCTGCATGCAGCTGGTTTCGGCCCCACCGAGGGGCCCATTCCTCGATACATGGGCGCCTCCGGCGCCGGGAGGCGCCGGGAAAATCAGCTACGTGAGCTGATTCTCAAACCCCCCCTTTGCTATCCCCCCCTTTCGCCCGACCCGATACAATCCCTCAGTTCCCCCCCCAAAGTCGGGCTGCCCAGCAAAGAAAGGGAGTTGGCTGGATTCACCCTGGGGCTTATCTGTTGCGCGGTCCTGCATGGGAGCCTCAGAGGGTCCCAGAATCCCTTGCGGTCATGCGGACGCCGCCCAGAGCTCGTAGGATCCGGTCGATATCTGGACGAAGTCTGGACGCCTTCTTGACGAGCGCGTCAAGATGGGTGGTCGAAATCTGGCCGACATCCGGTCGAAGTCACGATTCTGAAAGGGCCGCGGACGTCCACATAGGTTCGGATGCAACTCTTGGGAGGTCAAATTCTGATTTTGCCCTGGTCCGAAATCCAGCTTAATCCGGCTCATTCCGGCTTAATCCGGTTTAATCCCGCTTAATCCGCGGCCTAATTTTGCGTAGTAGCCCCCCAATGAGGCTTAATTCTCTTCAATCTATCCGACCAAGACCTCCCAGTAGTTGCTTCCTAACGTAGGCCCCCATGAAGGCTCACCGATATATCTGGGCGCGCTCCATGCCGAGGCCGTGCGCCCCCCCCCATCGTGGATCCTCAGGAGGGAAGGAAACACGCAGAAACAATTCATCGTCGATCTCAGGAAAATATAGGAAAATATGGGAAGTGGAGGGGAAGACAAAAACCAAGAAGATATAAGAAAATATGCATTGGTGTGTCCCAGGGCCCCTTCAGATCCCTGAGGCTGGCACCGCCTTCTCGGCTGCCGCTTCGGACGCCCAGCAGAGTAAGGGGACTAAGAGGACTGGGCTCGCCAGACCACCCGCGAGCAGGGTCGGCGGCGAGCGAGGGGGGGAAGTAAAAAGGGGCGGGCCTTCTCGGAAGGCTCAGAAGTCCCCCGGCCTTCCGAGAAGTTTTTTAAGCCTTCCCCAGAGACAGAACAAAACCTCTCGGAAGGCGCGAGGGCTTCTGGGAGGTCCCGCCGACTTCTGAGAAGGCCTTCCCCTTCTCGTTTTCCCCCTCGCTCGCCGCCAAGCAGGGTCCAGGGGCAACACGTCGTTGGGGGGAGGGCAGGTCCAGGGGGGGGGGCATCGACCTCCAGTGTCAGGCGATCGCAAACATGGATTCCGGGGGCGTGGATTAGCGACGGGTCTCGCTTCCATGGGAAATCGCGGACTTCCGCCGCCGAGCGAGGCGGCAATGGCCGCATTTTGGGGAGGGCGCCTCCCCCGATCCATGGATTTGGCGACCGCGCGCCACATCCATGGATCGCGAATCCAGGCCTGCGCGCCCCCGACAGTGGCCCGCGCATTGCCGTTCGGGTCCCGACAGCCCACCCCGCCCAGGCGCGTGCGGAGGATTCGCCGTGGGGGGCCTATCGCCGATGCATCGGCGGTGCATCGCCGGCTCCAGGCCGCCCTGCGCGTTCCGCCAGCAGTGCCGCCCATTAGAGAACGTTCGTAACTCCCCTGGCGACAGCGGGCGCTACCAGGGGGGAGGGGGGGAGGGTCCGCTCACGTCACCACGGCTTTAAACACCACCACCACAAGCAAACACAATGATAATAACGATTGCAGCAACAGCAACAACCATTTCAAGACTGTTCGCTCCTATCTGCTCACGTGCCAATCAACACGTATATCTCAAACCGTCGGTACCCGCCCTCGTCGTCTTCGATGGTACCCCCTTGGGGGTATATCTTCCTTACCTGCCACGTTCATTTAGTGCAACCTCTAAAACACGGGAAGAGAAGACGGGTGGATCACGAGAACATTAGTAGGAGGAGAGCACGGAGCAGAAAACAAGTGGTAGAGCCAGACGGCCAGATCGGGTGGGCAGACCCATAGCGGGCAGGTCGGGAAGGCGGGCCCATGCGACCAGGTCGAGTTAGCGGGTTGCTGAAGCGTAGGTCCTGCATGAATCGCAAGGAACTCTCGAGCGAGAGCGTGATTCCTGAGCGCCGAGTGCGCGTCGTCTGAATAAATTGTGAGGCACTCCCGCGCGACAGCGCGATTTGGGAAAACATTGTGAGGAAGTGTCAGGCGGGAGCCGCTGTTGTTTTAAACCAGCGGCCAGGGGCACAGTTTGAGCCGAGTGACGTCCCCTGATAAACAAACTGGGTGCGAGCCCCGGGGGAAGCACTTCAATTGAAAAAATACAATGGTCACCGGAGGGGGGGGACATCAACAAGCATTAGTCAGTAGTGAGAGTTCAACCACAGCAACAACAACAGCAGCGGCAACAACAACAGTAATTTTAAGACTGGACGCTCTTACCTTCTCGCGTGCCATTCAACGCGTATATCCCAAACCCTTGGTACCCGCCCTCTTCGTTTTCGATCGTACCCGCCTGAAGGTGTATCCTCCCTGTCTGCCGCGCGCAATTGGCGCAGCTCCTGAAACATGGGAAGAGAGGACGGATGGAAGAGGGATGGAGAAGGGTGGAGCACTGGATTAGCAGGAGGGTGCTGAGAGCGAGCAGAAAGCGCGTGGCAAAACCAGACGGGCCCATCGTGCGGGTAGACCCCAACGGGCGGGTCTGGAATGCGGGCCCAAGCGGCCAGGTCGAGCAGGCGGGTTGCTGAAACGTGAGTGCCAAGTAGATCGTGAGAGCGGCCAAAGCAAGAGCGCGGTTCGTGAGCGTCGAGGGTGCGGTGTCCGATTAAATTGCGAGAAAGTCCCACGCGAGAGCGCAATTCTTGTGTTGTTTATGTTGTTGTTGATGTGATTGTTGTTGTTGTTGTTTTTGTTGTTGTTGTTGTTGCAGGTGGCGATCTTGCAGATTATTTGGCAAGGACCGTTCGCACAGTTTTCCTGTGACTCCCGAGGGGACAGCTGCTCTGACTGCAGCTCTCGTGCTCCAAAGCAGCTCGGAGCCGGGACGACTACGGAAGATGTTTGTTGACCCTCCAGGGGGCTGCTGGAGAGAAAAGGGCAGCAGTCCATGAGGGCAGAAGTTCACTCAGCTTCGTGTCGCACGCGCCTCCTATCTCGAACGCTCACCGCCAGAAACTACCCAACTCGACTGCAAATTTGAGCATGTTTCCCATCGCCCATGGTGACATATTCGGTACCCCACTGTTGACAATATCCGCGGAGGTGCTACATTTATCTTTCAATCAACGCTAAAATCGTTGATCCTGTCGGATACCCACTAGTATCCGAATTCCACCCCATGTAGCTGGAACAACTAGCCCACAGCATGTCCATCCTCACTCGCTGAAGGTAATACCTGTGCTCTTTGTGTGCTTTCCATTCGCCGGCTTGATACCCGGACCAGAAAGCAAGATACAGGAACAGGCTGTAAATCGATAGTGTGATGCAGGCACAAAACAAAACAATCGATGTGAATATGAAGATCTCGGATTGGTAACCACAACCATTGATGTAGTAAGAGTGCTAACGATACCATCTCAGCCCATTTTCTGAACAAGTGAGCGATCAACCTTGCTCCGGGACACCGCGATGCCGCCGCCATTGGTTTTGATGATGTTTTCGATCCCGTTGGCCACCTTGGGGTTGTTCCAGGCGCCCTCGAGCGTCTCCCTGATGTGTTTCTGCGAGCCGTTCGAACAATTGCCCACGTTGGGGCACACAGCCGCCTCGATGAAGGCGCGCTGCAAGAGCGTGAGCTCCTCGGACTTGGCGTGCGACATATCTGCCGCCGGAGCTTCGGCAGCGGGCGCCGATGCCGGCCCAAGAGGAGCTCGACGAGGATCCTTTTGTCCAGTTGTTGTTGTTATTGCTATTGTTGGTGTACTTGTGTTTGCTGAGTTTTTCTATGTTTTTGTCGTCGGTGTTGTTGTTGGTGTTGTCGTCGTTGTCTTTGTTTCTGTTGGTGTTGTTATTGTTGTAATTGTTGTCGTTGTCGTCGTCGTCGTTGTCGTCGTCGTCGTCGTTGTTGTTGTTGTTGTTGTTGTTGTTGTTGTTGTTGTTGTTGTTGTGTTTGTGCTTGTTGGTATTGTTGTAGTTCGGGGCCAAACAATCCAGTTTGGCGACACCTCCATTTTATTTTTACGAATACAGGATGCGAGCCCCGTGGGGAGCACTTTAACAGAAAAATGCGACGGCTACCGGGCAGGGGGAATGAAACACCATCATTCGTTACACATGAACTTTACGACAGCAGCGACAACAACATTCACAACACAAAACAACAGCATCAGCAACAATGGCAACAGCACCATCAATCACAACGACAACGACAACAGCATTGACACTGATACTAAAGCGTACGTCGACAACAGCAGCGGCATCAACAACAACAACAACAACAACACTAACAACAACAACAATAACAATCATTTAAGACTGGGGACACTCCGTTCTCACCAGTGCCAGGGTTTTCATAGGAGGCGGGCAATACCCCCACTTTGTGGGGGGGCCGGTTCAAGCTCTACCAAATTTCCAAACGACTCTTCGCCACCACCCACACCCAGCTTCCCGCCCTATGACGTTCGGACACTTCACTTCGTGGCATGCGGACGACCGTGGCTACTATTCAGGGCCCCGCGGCCGACGACGACGGCGTGCGCGCGCGAAGAAAAAACGAATGTGTCCCGCATGGTATTATTTGACAGGGATGATGGCCCTGGCAGGTGCGCAACCGTTGTCGCAGAAGTTCGAAAAAGTTGCTCGCAAAAGCCCGTTTGACAGAAATGTTTAAAAAGTGTTGGGTTTCCTACGAATCCGCAAGAGCGCGCGGGATGAGATTTTGACATTTTTTTGTTGAAAAACCATTGGTTTTTTGATGTTTTTATGTTAAAATCGCTCCGAACACTAAGCTTTTGGAAGGATTTCGTCTTGCGCGCGCGAATGTCCACTTTACCTTATTTTTTGCAAGGGATTCTTGAAATTTGATTATATTAGAACAAGAAATGTCATTTTATAGTGTTTTTTGCAAGGGAAAACGGATTACAACAAAACAACCGGATCTGGATCACATCGTTTTACCTGAGGCTTCCTCACGAAAATGATGAAAATGTAGCTGCGGCCTAGGCGGCGCAGGGGGGGCGTGCACCAGGGGGCCCAACAATAATTATTCTTTAGAATAAGTAATGTTCAACAACAACAACAACAATTACTAGCACGTGGGGACACACCGTTCTCACCAGTGCCAGGGTTTTCATAGGAGGCGGGCAATACCCCCACTTTGTGGGGGGGCCGGTTCAAGCTCTACCAAATTTCCAAACGACTCTTCGCCACCACCCACACCCAGCTTCCCGCCCTATGACGTTCGGACACTTCACTTCGTGGCATGCGGACGACCGTGGCTACTATTCAGGGCCCCGCGGCCGACGACGACGGCGTGCGCGCGCGAAGAAAAAACGAATGTGTCCCGCATGGTATTATTTGACAGGGATGATGGCCCTGGCAGGTGCGCAACCGTTGTTGCAGAAGTTCGAAAAAGTTGCTCGCAAAAGCCCGTTTGACAGAAATGTTTAAAAAGTGTTGGGTTTCCTACGAATCCGCAAGAGCGCGCGGGATGAAATTTTGACATTTTTTTGTTTGAAAAACCATTGGTTTTTTGATGTTTTTATGTTAAAATCGCTACGAAAACTAAGGTTTTGGAAGGATTTCGTCTTGCGCGCGCGAATGTCCACTTTACCTTATTTTTTGCAAGGGATTCTTGAAGTTTGGTTATGTTAGAACAAGAAATGTCCACTTTAGCTTTTTTTTGCAAGGGAAAACCGATCGTAACAACACAACCGGATCCGGACCAACCCGTTTTGCCTGAGACTTCCTCACGAAAATGATGAAAATGAGGCTGCGGCCTAGGCGCGGCGGGGGGGTCGCGCACCAGGGGCCCCAACAATAATTATTCTTTAGAAGTAATAATGTTCAACAACAACAACGACAATAACACCAACAACGGCAACGACAGCAGCAACCACAACAACAGCAGCAACGCTGGCAACAACGACAGCAAACCCGCACGGCGGCACCCCACTTCGGCCACGCACGCAGGACCACTTCACGATTGCTCGGCCGCCCCAGTCCGCCAACAAGCGGGCTCCAGTCGGGGTGCCCCCCCCCAGTCCTCCGACCCCGGCCATCGCTCGGACGTGTGCATATTTTTTCTCGGCGAGGACCCTTGAGGACCATCCTGGACCGTCGAGCAACCAACAAGCACGCACGAAACCGAAACATGATCGGGAAATGGACGTCCGAGCGATGGCAAGAGTCCGGGTGCCCCCCCCCCAGTCCTCCGACGGGGCTCCCGGGCGGGCGGACCCCTGCCGACCGCGGCCCCCCCAGCCTCCTGCGCGGTGGTTGGCTCGCTCGCCCTGTTCGCCGTCTTCCTGTGAGAGCGGCCCGCGGCGCGGGGCCGCCGCGGACAGCAGGCAGGCGGAGTGGCCCGGAGTCGCAGGCCTGGGGGTTGGCACCAACACCAAGATCGGCGGTGTGCCTCCACCGAAGGAAGACGATGCCGATCTCGGTGATGGTGGTAATATTCTGGCTTCCGAGGTGACCGACATATTACCACCAACGCCGAGATCCAGGATCATCTCCCCACGTGGAGGCAACCCCCTGTACTGGTGTTGGTGCCAATGTCCAGGCCTCCAACGATTTGCCTATAGGCCCACCAGAAGATGCTCTAAGAACCTTGTGTGGTTTGCGCGAACATGTCTTCGAACATTTCTGGCTGAGGCTGTGTTGTTTTAATCATTTGGGTTTGTGTTATATGAACAGTTTTTTGCTCATCGAGCATCTTCTGGTTCTAACACGAATCCGTGGGAGGCCTATGGGAGTGCCGGGACGGTCTGCCCCTGCTCAAGGACGGCCGCGGCGGACAAGAAGCTGGCGCGATGCGATTGTCGAGGGTCGAGGATCGGGATTTCCGTCCCCCACCCGTCGAACAACAAGAATCACATAAACATTCATGTCATTCCTCGCAGTTCTGCGCGGATTTCTTGGATCCGCGCTGGGCCCCTTGGGGGAGACTACGGCGCCGCTCCTGGCGCGCTCCGCGCGCAAGGGATGGGGGGGGTTTCAGCGCCGATCCTAGAAAACCGCGCGGACCCGCGAGAAATTATCTTTATGCTGTCATGTAGCCCTCAAGCCCGGCAGGGTGGGGCTGCTGGATTTGAAGAGCTCCCGGCCCGTCTCGCGCGCCCCGCACACCGCGGTGGCGGCCACAGGTGTGCCGGTGCCCCCCGGGGATCCCGCGTCGTGCCCTCGATGAGTGACGACTGCAAACAGCGGCCGCCAAGCCCCGAGGGGCCCGCTGCTCCCTGGGTCTGTTGCCTTGCGTTCTCGGGCGGGGACCGCGCGAACAGTGGAAGCCAGTGCGATATCGCCCACTGGCCTCCGGGAGGCTTCTGGTCGCCGCGGCGGGGTTCGCCTCGACAGGCTTTTGCCAGGGCGCAGCCCCGGTTCCGACGCCTCCGGATTTGAGTTCTTACATTCCTTTCACGGCCTTTGGAAAGTTTCTCGTCGCCACGACCGGGTTCCCATCGATCTTGGGAGATTTCTGCAGTCCCTGGCAATGACGGGAGTGACCGTGAGGTTGAGGAGGGGGGGAGGGGGCCAGTCGCGTCGCGATTCGCGGTGGCTGGGATTTGCGTAGGAACGACTCATTCCCAGACGGCGCCCGCGCGAATTGTGACGTGACCAGAGGGGTGGGGGGAGAGGGCTGGGGGAGTCGTGCCGCCGTTACTTTGAGGAGCTCAGCGCATTTCGACATGGATTTGCTGTTATCTAGCGCAAAACAGTCGTCTTCCCTCCCGGGGAACAGTAACGATCGCACGTAGGAGAGTGGCCTGGACCACCCACAACCCCACACCACACACATGCTGGTCCTCTCGCGCATACTTTGGCGATCGCAGCGCCCCCCACCCCCCACTGGGGTAACGAGGGTTACCGAAAAGACAACAAACATGCTAGCCGCCGTGGACCCCGAACAGTGTGATGCGGCATAGTTTTTGGTGCAGTATGTAGATATACTTATAGATATGTCTGTTCAGGTATGTTTGTACATGTATGTTTGTATTGATGTCTATGTGGTGCAAGCTAGGCCCAATCTACGTGGTGGAAACATGACGTGTAAGTTATGAGGTGCAGACTGCGTGAAATAAACTACGTGGTGCAAATTATGTTGTGCAGTATTTCCTATATATAATGGAATCTATTTGGTGGAGTATATGTGGTGCAATCTTTATGCTGCAATTTCCATGTGGTGCAATCTGTTTGGCGCAGTTGGTTCTTACCAGTGAGTTGACAACCTCCGCTCCCTTGCAAGCATCCCACCCACCCACCCGCAGGTTGGTTTGCAAAGCCCATGCGGCGGCGATTCCGATGAGTGCTTGGCGTTGGCTGGTGCATCTCTGCTGCCGCGCTAGCTTGCGCATGCTCGCGCGCACAGCGGCCAGCTAGCTTTTCGCGATCGACGCGGCCGCAGTGGCTCTGACCGTTGGGAACTTCCCAGCTGTGGTTTCAAGGCGAGTCGGTGACTTGGACGGGCGTGGTATCATGGCGACGCCGGCAATGGTAGACGCGATTCTGAGAGTAGCGATGATGGTGACGATGGCGGCGATGACGACGGCAAGACCAATGACGGCGCCGATGTGGATTACGCCCTCGGATTAACGGTGACGATGCCCTCCCGTCGGCGACGCATGTTTTTTTGCAAGAGTTCGACATGCGCGCGCGCCCGACGCGCGCGAGTGGCTTGCATGGTATGCTTTGACACGGGTCGTGCCCGCCCCCCAGTACGCGCGCAAGGGCGTTCGAATGATTTCGACACGCGGCGCGAAAAACCAGGCTTGGCATAATTGGAGTTACATGTTGGAATTCCGATGCTGGGGGGGGGAACCCGCAAAAGCGCGAGCGCATCATTTTTTCCGAAACTGACGTTGCAAAGCCATGGTTTCTTTATGTTGTCGGTGCCCTCGCTCTTGAAGTCCTTACGAAACCGAAGGGTTTTGAAAGTCTGCATGCGCGCGCGCGACGACGCGCGCGTGTGCATTGCGTCCGGTTTGTTGCAGGGGATTTTTGCGACAGAACGCACGCACTGGCGTTCGAACGATCTCGACGCGCGCGCGAGAGGCCAATGTGCCAGCATTGAATGTCATTGCAAAACACATGTTGTTTTCATCTGAGTCCGCAAGAGAGCGAGCGAAATTTTGTTTGACAACTGTTGTTGCGAAGCAGTGTTTCTTGTATGTTGTTATGACACATGCTTTTGATATCCTCGTGGAGCCTCGGTTTCTGTTGATGGGTTCCGGCACTCGCGACGACGCGCGTGCGTATTGCGTCATATTTGTTTTTGTGAAGGTTTTTGGGAACGGATGCTTTTTGATTGGCCAGAGGGCGCGCGTAGGTTCTTTGTGGAAAATGAAGAGGGGTGCGGTTTCCGGCTTGCTTCGGGCAGTACGAATTTACATGTAGGGTGGACGATGGGTCAAGACCGCATGCAATTTGCAGTACGAGCGGGTCGATCTTGTTATTCAATCTCTTCGCTCAGTCCGCCGGCCCATTATTGTAGCATCGCTGGCAGTTGCTTCCGTGCTTTGGGGGGGCATTTGGGGTGCCTCCTGGGGCCGCTTGGGAGCCTCCTGAGGGCCTCGCGGGGGCATCTTAGGGCCTCTTGGGGGCCTCTTGGGGGCCTCTTGGGGCCTCTTGGGAGCCTTTCGGGGGCCTCTTGGGCGCTCCTGGGGGCCTGTCGGGGCCGAGGGCTCGAAATATCCGTGCGGGTCTCCCGTCTGGACCCCTTCTTGGAACCGTCTTGGGGGCCTCTTGGGCTGTCTTGGAGCCCTCTTGGGTCGTCTTGGGGCCGTCTTGGGGAGATCTGGGGGGTCTCTTGGGTCGCTTTTGACGTTGTGAAAGCTCAAGTGGCGAATATGCTAAACATCTACGTTCGTGTCGATCTTGTTATTCGTAGAACAGAGCTATGTGGTATGAGCTATGCGATTCCGTGGCGCAAGCTATTTGGTGCGGCGTCGACGAGTTGCGACGAGACGGCGACGGGCGGCGACAAGCGGCGACGGGCTGGTGACGGGCTGGTGACGGGGTGACCACGAGCTGGCCGGGGCGGCGGGCGAGACCAGTCGCGGCGGCGAAGAGAGCGGGGACGGGGCGGCGACGGGGCGACCGCAATTCGGCCAGGGCGGCAGAACAGCCCAGTGCTTTGAAGAACACCAATCGGCCCCCGAGTGCAACATTTCGTTTGGGGGACAACATGGTCAGACAACTTTTTGCTGGTGCGTAAAGCGGCCTCGACAACCAGATGTTTCAAGCAGGCTGCTCAATCCTGGCAGCCAGGGCACAGACATGGACATTTCGGATGCTGCCATTCGGAGCTTGAAGTTCATCATCGGTGCTGGTAGATCCTGGCCCAAACCTGCCAGATCTGGCAACATTCTTGTTGAATCTCGCCTGATCCCCTTGGTTTAATCCCAGGCTCCATCCAGTCTTCGCTGACCGAATGGCCTCCCCATCGGGCTTGACCGCCCGTGGTCGTTCCTGCGAAGACCTCCCGGGGACTGCTTCCCGCATCACACGCCCGCCGCCCGCCAGCGACGGCCCCGCCCGCGGGAGAGCGGCGCGGAGCCCCCCCCCGCCGCCCGCGCGCGCCCGCGACGCGCCGAAGGCCGAAGCGCCTCCCCCCCCCCCCCCGTGGCTCCCTTACCCGGGTCAGGGGCAGCGACGGGGGGGGACTGGCCAAGGGGGGGAAGCCCCCGATTCGATTGTTGAGGGAACGCCACGTGGATTGGCGACGGGTCCCGCTTCCGTGCGCCATCCGCGCGCGCAGTCGCCCAAAGAGGCGGCAACGGCGTCATATGTCGGAGGCACCCTCCCGATGCATGGGTCTGGCGCCCACGCGCCAGACCCACGGATCATTGGTCCATGTCAGCGCGCGCCCCCCGAGACGGGGGGTCGCCCCTCCCTCCACGTCCCTCCCCGCGACGGTATCGAACGGGCGCGGGGGGGGGAGAGGGCGGTTTCCCCACAGTCGTGGCGGACGCTGCAGGGGAGGAATCACAAGTGACCTCCAGAAGGGGGCAGTGCATGAGCATACCTTTTCGGAGCTCCGCGCGAGTCTCTTGGATCTGCGCTGGAGTCCCCTGGCGGCGCCTCCAGCGCCCCCACTGGCGCGCTCCGCGCGAGAGTGGGTGCAGCGCAGATCCAAGAAGCCCGCGCAGGTGCCGTGCTTTCTTCCTCGAGATCGCCGGCAGGCCCGCGACATCGGGAGGTTTCGCGATCTTGGGCGTGCACGCCTATGCCGCTCTCTGTTCCCCGAGATCGCCCGTTCATCACCGATTCGAGGCTTGGGCGCCCCGCGCACCGCCCAGGAGCGCGCGTGTTTTGCCAGTCGGTGGCCTGCCACCGATGTGATTATCTATATAGATATACCTCTCTGAATGAGGGGGCCGAACGGTCTATCACTATCATTGTCACTGGGAACGTGGCTGAAGTGGGGTTCCGCTGTGCGGATTGTTGTTGTTTGTTGTCGTCGTCCAATTCGAGA